AGACCAGGTTTGCTGGTCTGATAGAGTCTGATGGAACCCCTGAGACTATGGCCCCTAGTTGCCCTTCAGGTCTGGAATTGAACCCACTCTTGTGGTTTCCAGCCAAACAAAAGACAGGCATATGAGCTGAACATTTATATTAGGTAGATACACTCCTTGGTGAGATGAATCATGGGAGAATAGAAGGGCTGTGCATGCACAGAGAGCTAGCTCAGGGGCCAGGAGTGTGTGGGAGGGAAGGACACAGGGAGGTAACTATGGGGACCAAGTGGGAGGGGAGCTGTTGCATTGTGGAAATTGCAGTCAATGTCATAAGACAAAGTGTATGTGAGCTGCTATATGGTAAGTGAATTTGCTCTGTAAACTTTCACCCAAATCATAATAAAAATAAAAAAAAAAATTCCTCTAATTCCACTCATCATCTTAGAAATGACATACGTAAAATTGGAAACAGTGTCAAAGAATGATGACATCTCAGCTCAATTGTTCACAACTGTTAGAGGAAAACTCACAAAGTGAGGACTAGGTTGCTGCTCTGGCTCTGCTAGCTCTGTGACCTTGGACAAATCTCTTCACCTCTCCCAGCCTCAGTGACCTCATTCTGCTAGCTCTGTGACCTTGGACACATCTCTTCATCTCTCCAGGCCTCAGTGACCTCATTTGTAAATAGAAGGTGGAAACAGATTTCTTAGGTGCCTTTTCAGCTCTAAAATTCTTTAAATGATGATGGCTGAATAGTGCAATCTTCTGCATGTTTTTTGTATTGTGTCCTGGGACAGAGACCAGTTAGGCAATTCAAGGTCAAATTCAATATTGATAGCTCTATTTCAATTGTATGTTTCAATAATGAATGGTTGCTTTTCTTACTTGTTTATACTAGAAATGGAACCCAGATTATTAGGAGCTGAATAGGACCTGTGAGATTACTCTAGTTCAGTAGCCTTCCGATTTCTTTGTTTTCATTAAGAGATGTAGCTCTTTTCTTCTAACAAAATCTTATAAGGAAATGTTTATGTTACAGACCAGAATACAGCCTCAGAGCAATTAGAAAGGCATCAGTTTAATCCAACCTCTTTTAAAATGAGAAAGTGAGCTTGAGTGGGCAACACAGCTGGTAGCAGCTAAGGGATGGAAATCCAGGTCTCTTACATTAGTCCAGGCTCCTTTCTGGAAGCATTGTGTTCCCCTCATTACTTACACTGTGTTCTTTTTGATTTTGCTGAGAAAGGGTTCAAATCTAAAAAACTCTTTGCAAGCATCTCTTTACTCAGAGTCCTCTCAGGGGACAACAGTGTTCAACAGAGGAGAAAATGACAACACTGAGATTTCTTCCTAACCCAATGGTCTATGTACTGCAAAAATAATCAGCCTAGAGAAGAACAACAAAGAATCCTCCCAGAATTCAAATAGCTCTGACATCCATAATGCTTTCTGGAGAAAAGGAGTGTTTTTCTCTTCACAAGAAACATTCATGCCTAATTTTTCAATTGCTACTCTCCTCAAAAGCCTTGTCTCTTTAGTAGGACATAATATAAATATTAAAGTATCTGAATTTTAATTTTGGGTTCATGTTATGCCAAGCTGCAAAGTATGTTATGCTGGAGTCTGCCATAAACTATAAGGTACTTAATATTAACAACTGTCTATGATGATTAAAAAAAATCCTAACTCTTCCATGGAATAGATTCAAGTGGATCACAGACACATTTGCTGTACTTAAATTTACCTTCCTGACTCCTGCAGAAGGAAGTGTGAATGCTGCAGCTTGATCCTGAGTTGAAAGAATAGAATGCAGAGCTATCACTTTATATCTGAAAGTTAAAATCATAGTTCTTAGCAAGAGTTTCTCTTTAGAAGGCACTGCAAAGAATAACAAAATTTATTTGCAAATAGAAAGCAACTTTAATATTTTCTATCATGAAAAATTTTAAACACAAAAGTTCAGAGAACGGTGCTATGAATCCCCATAAATACTCATCATAGAGACAACTTTTAATAGGAATAAATAATATGGAATAGGGTATAAGTATTTTTAAAAACATTCTGATGTTAAAAATATAAAAATTAAGATTGTTCTGATGTTGAAGTGATAATCAGGACAGAAGTATTAAGTGATATCAAAACAGATAGAGTAAACAACTGATTCAATATATAGGTAATCAACTGCAACTGTGGTGTTTTGCAAAACCCAGTGGGTTTGAGGAAGGGAGCCACCATCTTATTCTTAAACCCAGGGCTCCCTCTGCTTAATCACAGTAAGAATACAGAACAAATACAGATAAAGTACCTAAGGGTTTTCAATAGATAAAATGCTATAATAAAACAATCTTAAAAAAAAAAAAATCAATTTTAGTTCACCATAGTTTTAATGTACCAAATATTTTTCTGTTTTAAAACCACTGAGAATATAATGAAAATTTGTAATTACCGTTCAGAATAAAATCTTCTGTCAGTTGACAGGAGATCATACAACTGTTGAATATGAGCAAGTCCTGGTAAAAAGATCAGTACTGCCCCTTCAATATTTCTGAATTGGGGACTTCTGTCTGAAATGTTTCAGAAGACAAAATACTCAAATTAAGAAAGATATGTAACAGCATATAACAGAAGAAAAGCTTTGTCAAAACAGATGGAGACACTTTAGGTATGGAAATATACCTAAATACACCAGCAGTTCCAAAATGAGATCCAGATTGATTTTATGAGGATTCATGTAGAGAACAGCGTGCTGAGTGTGGCTGCTGTACTTCTGGTAAAGGGGATTTAAATCAGCACTTGCTCCAGTCTGAACTGGGATGTATTCCTAACAGAAACACAATCAGAGAAAGCTGAACAAAAATATCAAGTATCCTTTTAAGAGAAAAAAGAAAAAGGAGGTATGTATGTTCATTTAAATCTCTATTTTTCTAATTTTTGTAATGCCATCAGAGCTTCCTAAAATCTAGCAAGAGTGCCATTTTTAACACAGGAAAAAGTACCATAAAATTAAAAATCTCTCCTGGAGTTGAATTTCATCCAGCCCTTAAGTGTAGCCAAAAGTTTTTCATCTTCGCATGCACATACTAAAGAATTAAAGAAAAACATAGAATTATATATGTATCATTCTGTGGCAACTGAAAGGCAGCCAGGCCGAGAGGTCAAAACGTTAATAAGTAGCTTATACTGGACTCATTCTTTCTAGACTCTACTTTGGCTGCTGAGTTTCAATTACGTCTCCTCTGAAATAACTGCAATTTTTTGAAATCTAGCTTTAGTTTCTAATTCTATCTCTGGAGTTTTAAGGAAAAATTAGCTTTTGCTTTCTGGGTTTACTTTGCTCAATTAAGAGATAAAGTAAGTTTAACTTTGTGCTTACATTAGATTGGATACATGACTTAAATATAAATGAAATACGGATACAATGAAAATGCTGTATCTAGTACTATTAGCTAAAATGCAGGATAATAGTTTTTGTGATACTTCTAACAACACATAATGAGACCAACTCCCTAGCACTAACTATCCAGCCCTGGACAGCTTCAGTGTGTTACTTTCTGCAAGGTCAAAGGCTCTGAGAAAGTCAATGGCAAAGATCTAGATTTTAGGCCTGCCCTATCCTAACCACCTATAGCGGTGGGACAGAAACAAAATCATTATATACTTACTCCTCAATAATGTGCCTTTGCTACAAAATTGTTACAAAAGTTGCATCTTATTTATTATGGTCCTTTATTTTGTATGGGTTTACATGGACTGGGACAATGTAAGAAGACAACTAAAATAACACAAAACAAAGACTACAATTCTATGAAACAAACATTCAAGAAATGATTTTTAAAATTTGCTCATCATCATATCTACTCCTCGTCCACCAAGTTACTTGAATTCACTGTCAGCCATACAATTTAAAAACTCTCACGGTAGGTTATGTCCTGGTTATCATTATTACATGTCTTTAAGATGTTTTATTTGTACCTGATACTTTTTTATTCCCCCAGCTTTGCTTGTAACATTAATGGTTATTTCTTCTTCCTCCTCCAGAAATTTTTGGCAATATTCTGAGTCTTTCTCCAGTACAAAGCCTGTCTCCTCTATTATATCTTCAAGATGAAAAACCTGCATATAAGGCATATGAGTGGATGAATTAAAATTCCTTTGGGTAAATAATGCCACTAAGCGGTGGTAGTTTAGGATAATATAAAAAAGTCCTCCCTCCCAGCTTTATTTGGGAATGAAGAACTTGGTTGACACAGAAGGGTCTGTTCCTAGATGTCTCAGAACAAATTACATCATGGTGTACATTTTCTTATGTGTAAAGTGGTTAAAAGAGCAGTCTTCATCAGCTGAACCAAAAGGGTGAGCATTAAGAATAGAATAGGGAGAAAAGCTGCAAAAAAAGGACAACCCTAAATTTGGTGACTGGTTGAAAAAAGAGCTCCTTATTGCCAGGCAGCTACTCTCAATCCGGACATAGTGATTCTGATATAAAATGTAGTTTATGTTCTCTAGCCCTCAGGTCTCTTTAAACAGAGCCCTTCCTTTTCTACTCCCTTCCTCACTCAGGGTAGCACCAGCCATTTGATTTCCAAGGCTGTCCCAAGGTCCTTTCTTGACTTGTAACATCCTAGGGGTAAGGCAATTTCTGCTGAGGTACACATTATAAAGAAAACTTACCTCAACAGGGTAACTTCTTCCTGAAATTCTGAGGATAGGACAGTGTGTGAAATATGTAGAAAACTTTTCACTGTCCACAGTGGCACTCATTAGAATCAAGTGTAGATCAGAACGTTTCTGTAAAATCTCCTTCAAGATAATCAGTAGGAAGTCAGACTGAACACTTCTTTCATGAACCTAGCATAAAAGGAATACAAAAAATACATATACCCACTCTTCACTTAGCAACGTAGGTTGCAAAGATGAGGTCATTAAGTGAAAATCCGTATTACACAAAAATGGAGGGTGATCACATCAGATCACAAAATGGAGGATGACTAAATTGTATGTAACTGCCAAATTATGTCATTACATAAAGGCCAAGCTGAGAATCAGCCAAGCTGATATATAATCTTAACTATCATAGCCAGTGTTACTCTCATCTTGCACCTTGGTGTTCATTACTGCTAGATGTACATCATTAATGTGCAAAACAGCTGGATAGTAGTCATTTTACTATTGTCATAAATGCAAAATGTTAGATGGTTGTTGTTATGGCCATTGAGTCTTCTCTGACTCATAGTAACCTTATGTACAACAGAACAAAACACTCCAGAAATCTCTGGCAATAAAAAAATGGAACACTGCTCGGTCCTGTGCCAGCCTCACAATCCCTACTATACCTGAGCCCATAGCTGCAGCCACCGTGTCAATCTATCTTGTTGAGGGACTTCCCCTCTTTTGTTGACCCTCCACTTTACTAAGTATGACATCCTTCTCCAGAGAATGGTCCTTCTGACAACATGACCAAAGTAGGTGAGACAAAGTCTGGCCATTCTTGCTCCCAAAAAGCATTCCGGCTGCACTTCTTCCAGGACAGATTTGTTAGTTCTTTTAGCAGTCCACGGTAATTTCAGTCCTCACTTTAAGTGAGGAGTAGGTGTATAATGTCTGGTGAGAAGCTTAAAAGGAGGTTAAAGTGCATGGCCACTAATTGAAGAGTTGGCGGTTCTAATCTACCAGCTGCTCTAAGTCCACAAAAGACCTGGTGATCTGCTCCCATAAAGCTGGTAGCCTAGGAAACCCTATGGGGCAGTTCTACTCTGTTCTGTAGGGTCACTAGGAGTTGGAACCAACTTGATGACATAACAACAACAAAGAAGCTTAAACAATGAGACACTAAAACCTACTGTAAGTTAATCAATGTTCAAGTATAGTCAGGTACATGATGCAGGGAAGGAGAATCTAAATATTGTATTAAGGCAGATCTTCAGAACTGAAAAGAGTCATCCTCTAAAACTGAAGACAGTTAAGAAATCAGCATACAGTAGACAAGATTAGGCATGATAGTATGACTCTCCAGTAGGAGATATGGTTTGCAAGTGTGTGCTGACAAGATTAGAGTCATCTCCTAAATTTCACTCAGAAGCAAGGAGTGATTCCTAAATCTCTATCATTAACATAAAACTGCCCTATCTACTATAAGATGGATAGTTTATCTACTGTGTAGGAAAATGAGGAGATGGTTAATAGGAAGCTAACAGTGTCCAGGAAAATGGTGTCATGCTCTTCCAACACATGCATGTACAGAGTGTAATGGAGGAGAGCAAAACTGAAAACAAGATATTTAATTAAAGGCTTCTGTAGTAGTTAAAGAGATGATAGTGGTCTATAAGAGGGTAATACTAGAGAACAAAGAGCTCTGGTAGCGTAGTGCCCAAGGCACTTGACTGCTAACCAGGAGGCTGGCGGTTTAAACCCACCAGCCACTCCTCGGAAGGAAGGGTAGGCAATCTATTTCTGCAGTGATACTGCCTTGGAAACCCAAGGAGGCATCACTAGGAGTTGGGACCGACTCAACGGCACATAACAACATAACACTAGAGCATATGAAGACAAGCAAATGACTTGAAGACTGGTAGAATCAATAGGATTAGGCGATTGGGTTTAAAGGATATGAGAAAAAGAAGGAATAATGTTGGAATTTTTTACTTTGGCAGATTGGCCAGGTGATCTTGGGGTCATTTACTGATACTCAGAAGAGAGGAAAGGAGCAAGTAAGGAGGAGAGATAATGAGTTTTGGAAATGCTGAGTTTGAAGTTCCTGAGTCTAAAGTTATCTAGAAAACAGTGGAATACTTATTATGAAGCTCAGGAAAGAGATCTCCTGGTAGGAGACATATATCTGGAAAATCTCACTAAATATATGGTATTTTATACAGATATGAATTTTAAAAAGTAAGGACTAAGCATAAAATTGAGCTAATAAAACTATGTATTATTAAGTACATTTGGTATAGGTAGGCAAAAATTTGGCTACAAGCTTAGCAGCAGCCAGCAGGAAAACCTACTTAATTCACAAATTGACCCTTGAACTGAAACAAATTAAAAAACTAATCCTAATAATAAGACCAGAAAAACCAATGCCATCAAGTCAATTCCGATTCATAGTGACCCTATAAGACAAATCAGAACTGGCCCATAGGTTTCCCAAGGTTGTAAATCTTTACAGAAGCAGACTGGCTCATCTTTGTCCTGTGGAGTGTCTGGTGGGTTCGAACCACTGACCTTCTGGTTAGCAGTCCACTGCTTTCACCACAGAGCCACCAGAGCTCCTTATAAGGCCAGAAGAAGAGGTGATATTCTGAGCATCTTCACAAAGAGAATCCTATGTAGTATAATGAATTCTATTCCAGCACCCCTCTTACATCCTCACATTTAACATGATGATGAATTTCACTGGGTATTTTCTTACTGCATTGTTCAAGAATATGCCTGATGGTATCACACAGAAGCACGATTCAGTAAATCACATCTATCGATTGTGACTATTAAACCATCAATGAAGACAGCTTCCTGAAGTTGGTCTGACTTCTAAATTAGGGGTCACCCCAATCTGTAATTACCAAGATATTTTATGGTAATAATTGGGATTCCAAGAGAACTTACCAACTATATAAATATTTCAGCTTATTTAGCAGGAATTTTTCATTATTAAAAAGGGAAATTATTGTTTCACCTTATCACTCATCTGTTGACCCTTGAGGATATTAGGTCTTGGCTATGCAAAGCCACAATTGTAACCCCCAAGAAACAGTTACTCCAGGGTCCTGCTCAAGCAGTCAACCATCCTCTTTCACTTTGATATCTCAGTGATAACAGTATAATTTTCTCTTCTATCAAAGAAAAAAGACTTGTGAGATAAAAAATAATTCCTACCACTTACCTATTACCAAAATAGTAATGACATTATTTTACAAACTGCTTATCTTACAAAGAACGAGTGTGTTATATACACATAGTAACCATGTTTTGTGAATCCCAGTCAAGATAAAGAACATATCAAAATCTCAGAATATTTAAACTGTCAAGAAAACTGTCTTAACCAAAACTTTTTCAACAAAAAAATGGTTAAATAAAATGTGGGATATCCAAATTATATACTATCATAAATCCATTAAAAAAATCATGCTTTTGCAGGATATCTAATGATGTGAATGAATTACAAAATAAATATCCATACAAATATAAACTCATATAATAAAAGACAGCTCTGGTAGCATAGTGCCTAAGGCAACTGACTGCTAACCAGAAGCCTGGCAGTTGAAACCCACCAGCCACTCCTTGGAAGGAAGGTTGGTCAATCTACCTCCATAGTGATACCACCTCGGAAACCCATGGAGGGGTTGCTATGAGTCGGGTCCGACTCCACAGCACATAACAACAACAAAAATAAACAAAAATAATGGAAAGTAATAAATGTTAACATTGATTTTGATGGATCATGAGATTATAGATAATATTTATTTCCATTTTTCTGCTTTTCTATGTCTAGTGTTTTCTAACTCAAAATAACAACAGTCTATATGTACACTATCAATTAAAAGTTAATGAATGATTGAACTCTTACTACTGCTTTCTGAACTTAATGAATTAACAGACATTCATAAAATGTCATCAGGGAAAATTTAAAAAATATTTTCTGAGTAACAGAAATGTTACATATTATACATCTTCTTGAAAAGTTATGTACAAAATAAATCAATTTACATATGTTTGGTTAGTATACCATTTTAAATAATTCTAATGTGGAACTTTGGGCATAGTTCAATTTAAATGTGCATTCAAATGTGATTCAAGTAGGTGTGTTTCTATAAAGAAAACGACGTATGGATGAAAATTTCTTGTCTTTGGTAAGAACTGGAGAAGATCCTTTAACAATTAAATGGAGTAGCTGAGAGAGTGTATAGCAGTAAAAGCACAGATTAGAGCCAGACTGCCTGTGTTTGGGGAGCTCTGGTGGCAGAGTGCCTAAAGCATTTGACTGCTAACCAGAAGGCTGGTGGTGCAAACCCACCAGCCACTCCTCAAAAGGAAGACTGGGCAATCGACTTCCCTAGTGATACTGCCTCGGAAACCCAAGGAGGGGTTGCTCACTATGAGTCAGATCCGACTTGACAGCAGTGAGTTTGGTTTGGTTTTGGTGCCTGTGTTTGAACCTCTAGCTATAGAACTTACTGACTGTGTGACCTTGGGCAAGTTATTTGACCTCTCTATGCTTCAGTTTCCTCAACTGTAAAATAGAGAAGACAGTATCCACTTCATTGGTCTGCTGGAGGATTAAATGGGTTAACATGTACAAAGTGTTTAGAAGGGCTTCTAGTATATAACAAGTTTCACATAAATAATTTTATTACATAAAATAAATCTATAATAATGAGGCATTTGTTAGAGAAGATTAAATACATTATTATATGTAAAGCATCTGGCATTTGGTAAGCACACCAAAAAAATACCAGCTAGTATTAGTAACATCTGTTTAATACAAAAGTCTTTAGAAAATCTTTAGAACCTGTCTGGACACAATAGAGAATGTGCTCACCTCATCTACGATAACATGAGACACATTAGTTAGAAGACCATCTTCTTGAAGTTTCCTTAGCAAAACCCCTGTTGTACAATAGAGTAGCCTGGTAGATTCACTAGATCGAGATTCCATTCGGATCTGATATCCACACAAGGAATTCTGAAGGGAGAACACAAAACTGAGATTAGTTTCTCACAAGAGATCTGGGAAACAAGTTTTAATAATTGAAGCACAGGTGCCAATCTCCCTTATATGTGGAACAGTGTAAGTAAATCTTCAGGGTGTAATTTATAATCATTATTAAAATTATTTTCC